GTTTTTAATGTTCGGTCCGGGATGTTGTGTGTATTTTTGAGTTGCCAGGTCAGAAAACACCGAACACTTACGTAGGTAAAAGTCTGTTTTTAACCTGTTAAAATACACCAGAATGCAGGAAATGGCATCTATTTCATTCAAAATGTTCTGGGGGAGGATCCCCAGATCCCCCGCCAGTGTGCCCCCTAACATTATGAGTACTTCTGTCACTGAAATATGTAATAATAATGTAAGGACTTCATGTGTAAAGACATAGAACACAGTAGAGCTCGACTGTTGTAGAACTGCAGATAATTTCTGGTCTGTGGACGTCACACAATCAGTAATATTATCTGTAAAATAACAAACTGAACGTCTACTGACAAATAGTTTACAAATTGTCGTTTGTAGTTGTGCCACCCCTGGTTTTTCAGTGGCTCAGATCAGAGAGGCCGTTTCTCTTAATCACACCTCTCCAGGTCCCACTTCTGCTCCAAACATGGGCACTGAAATGTTTTTACCACCGAAACACAGAGAAACATCAGAGACTACACCAAGCAAACAAATAATGTTCTTAAAGTGGAATTTAACTTATTGGTAGAGTAACTCAAGAGAAGTTAACAATTCAATTATTAAATTATTTACATCATGAAGTTACACTTGTATCAAAGCTTGTTTCTATTTTAATGGCAGCATCAATGCAGACCATTACAGAGATTGGTCTGGATCTGCAGCTTTTTCAAATTAAATTTTATTCAATATTTATTTTTTGTAAGGAGACAGAAGAACTTCCAGAGACAACTGTTYAAGACATGGAAGGAAACATGGATAAACGTTGAACAGATTGAACTTCTGACCTGTTTCCACAGCTGAGAGTGAATCAACCGGAAAAAAAAACTGTTAAAGTAAATCCTTTTCACTTGGCATCCTCGGTGCATCTAAGATGAAAAAAGTCCTTACACTGATTAAAGAAATATGAGCTTTTAATTTTGTGTTTTCATTTAAGAACAAAGAATAYCAATTATTTTTGTATTAACAAAAAATACAAGCAGAGAAAACATCAGAAACCTGCAAAAGCCGAGCCGTCACGAGACAATTAAATTGCTTTCATATTTAACTTTTTGTCAAAAAGTAATTCAGTAAAACATCCATTCAAAAGTTTAAGTTTCATAGTTCTTAGATATGTTAACAATTTTAAAGATACGAAACAACTGGTTGAAAATAACAGCACAAATATGAAATTATATTAAGTTATTTTACTACTAGCTGCTAACTTGTCATTTTTGAAAAAAACTTTGTTTTTCTTAAA